CATTAAAGAGCTTTAGATGCAGTTCAACACTTTCAGAAAGTAAGATTTATTACTAAAAAGGTCAAAAGGTGCAATAAAAAATATTTACAGAAAAAGATGTAGCTATATATATATATATATATATATATATATATATATATATATATATATATAAATATACAGAGAGCAATAACACAGCAAAGAGATAACAGAAAGGAATTTAGAGAGATAAAGTACTTGCCAAAAGCCTGGTTTAAGAAATCAAGTTTCCTGAGTCAAAAGGGTGCCTTATCTCCCAAAGTTAGTTCCGATGTTAAAAAGGGAGAATCTTCAACTTAGCTTAGCTTTTTCTAGGAACTCCACAGGGTGTCTCCCTGAAGCAGAGAACCAATCGCCTCATTTGGGCGGGTGTGGCAGGCAGAGACCCAAACTATGACCAAAAATCCCTCTTAGCTTATATTATGGTTCATAACTTACCCTGCATACATATAACATTCTATCCACAAGTAGATTAATACGCAGAATCTTCTGCTGAACTTCTAGATATGAAATATGAGATACCTGCTTCGATGGTTAAGGAGATATAATTTTCTGCTCTCTCTTGTATATGCCATCTAGGGGGTGTAATATACCAGGCGACTGGTATGTAATTATGTCCTATTTAAAGATATAAAATTATATGGAAAAGTGAGTTTTTAAATGTAAGTCTGTTTTACGACTACCTGGAATGTCTTTGAAGCTCAGTGAGGGCTGGTTATGGTTTTACGATCCCTTCTTCAGCAAGAGTCTCGCAGACATAGGGGCACCAGCTAGTAAGGTTTATAGCTTTAAGCATAACAGCCTTTTTCTAGGAACTCAGCAGGGTGTCTCCTTAAAGCAGAGAACCAATCGCCTCATTTCAGAAGGGGTGTTGTAGGCGGGGAGCTCAAGCTATGACCAAATCCCTCTCAAATTATACTATGGTCAATAACTTTTCCTAGGTACATGTAACATTCTATCCACAGGTAGATTAATACGCAGAATCATCTGCTGAATGTCTAGATAACAAATATGACATACCTGCTGAGATGGTTAAGGAGATATCATTTTCTGCTCTCCTGTTTTTGTGTCAGCTAGGGGGTGTAATACGACTTGTATTAAAGTGACCGGTCTGAATATATGCCTGGTTTTTATGTAAGTCTTTCATATTCCAAGATATATAATTATAGGGGAAAGTGGATTTTGAATGTAATGTCTGCTTTATGGCTTATCTGGAATGTCTTGAAGCTCAGCGAGGGACTGGTTTATGGTTTTACGATCCTTTTCCAAGCAGAGTCTCGCAGACATATGGGGGCCAGGCTAATTGGGGTTTATAGCCATGAGTTCTCCCACTGGGCCTTGATGCCTTTTTGAACTCAGCATCCTGGGACCACGTGTCACTCAACAGAGAGGGAGGGGGGATTTTGGAGAAGGAGAGAGAGATACAAGTTGGAGGGTTTGGAGCAAAATGGATGACCGCATCCATCTCTGTGTGCACGATTGCTACACCGCCCACCTGTGCCCATCAGTGCCACCCACCTGTGCCCAGCACTGCCACCCACCTGTGCCCCTCAACAGTGCCGCCCATCAGTGCCCAGCAGTGTGTCATTCAGTGCCACTCGTCACTGCCCATCAGTGCTGCCTATCAGTGCAGCATCATCAGTGCCGCCTATCAATGCCCATCAGTGCTGCCTATCCGTGCCACCTCGTCAGTGCCCATCAGTGCTGCCTATCCGTGCCACCTCATCAGTGCCCATCAGTGCTGCCTATCACTGCCCATCAGTGCTGCCTATCAGTGCAGCCTCATCAACGCACATCAGTGGAGAAAAATTACCTGTATGCAAAATTTTATAATAGAAACAAAGAAAAACTTTTTTTTTTCAAATTTTATGCTCTTTTTTTGTTCATAGCACACAAAATAAAAACACCCAGTGGTGATTAAATACCACCAAAAGAAAGTTCTATTTGTATGGCAAAAATTTTGTTTGAGTAGTGCTGCATGACCATGCAATTGTCATTCAAAGTACGACAGCACTGAAAGCAAAAAATTGGCCTGGGCAGGAAGGGGGGGATTAGTGCCCAGTAGGCAAGTGGTTAAGGGGTTTCAGGTGTCGGGATCAGGGTGGGGTTTCTGATCATCATATGACTACAGTGATTGGCTGTCACAGCATTAGCTGCCGATAAGTGTGCGTATGGCGCTTGCTCTAGGCACAGTTGCTTATCTTTAAGGTATGCATATATGCGGCCTCTTAGAGTTAATGCCCACCTGCTGAGAGGCCGCATATATGTATATGGACAGCGGGAAGGAGGTATGCAGGCCTATAATTTTCTGTAAAATTCAATGCAATATGGCAACCAGGAGGCGTTCTGTATACAGATAGTATACAGAACACCCCCCAGTAACGTCATTTTCTGCTGGGTGGGCCTTAACGCAGAGAGAACACATATGCGTATGGCTGGTAGGAAGGAGTTAATATGCAGCGCTGTAATTTTCTGTAAAATTCAATGCAATATTGCAACCTGCAGATGCAGAAAGTATACAGAATGCCCCCCAGAAATGTAATTTCCTGCTTGAAAGATTGCGGTCAGATTTTGGGCATCCCCTGCCACAAAAACTTAATTTTTGGTGAAAGAAACTGAAATCACATCTAATGAGATGCAGACCCTCCCACTTTGCCACCCTGAAAGTGCAGCAGCTGATTGATAATGATAAAATCACTCCTATACAGATTCGCTCAGCACATGGACACTGACAAACAGCTATTTTTTCAGAATAAAAAAGGTAGGAATTTGCATAAAAGTTTGAGTTTGTTAAAATAATTGCAATGTACATTGATCACAGAGAGGGGAATGTCTTTTCCCCTAACAAAAGTGGAGTTACTCTTTCAATCTGAAATATAATTTCACTTGCAGAATGCACTTCTGGTAAATGTTTGCTTAACATGTAACTTTACTCTAAACTCCCCAATCAATTAACCCGCCTTGCCTTTCAATCAATAATGAAATATGGGCTACGTACACTTAAATGTGTTACTAAACCCACAACAGTAAAATCAGTCTGTATTTGCAGTAAAGCAAGCTTGTTATACTCACTGTGGAACCTAAGGGGTCAATCCTCCACATTGTGTAAAAAAGCCTGTTTGATCCTGCCTTCTCTGATCCTCCCCCTTCTTCCACAGTCCCCAATGCACCTGCTGACAGTACAGAGCCCTAGGAGGCACTCTGCGCACGCTAAGTTTGGTGTGTATTGCCAGAGTTTTTTTTTTTTGGTGGGGGGGGGAGGGTGCATGTGATCAGCACAGGGCCAATCAGCACTGTCCAGACAGAGGGTCAGGGGTCATGCAGCCTCATAGGACAGTCAGAGGAGAATGAAAACACCTTCTACAAGCTTTAACCAGTGCTTAGCTGGACACTGATAGAAGGCACAAGACTGCTAAATACTACTGATGAGAAAAGGTATTTAGCAGTTTATATTTTTTTAAATAATTGCATTTCCATGCTCTGTGTACTGTAGAAGGCCAGATACTGTATAGTGAATGCAGGGTCATGGGTTTAGTAACACTTTAAAAACATTATATTAAATTGTGTTAATCTGCATATGTGAACAATATTCAGTGGTGAGAAAGGTATATATCACATTATACTTATAAGATACAGAATAAAAATTATCTGCAACCAACAGAGAAGGCAGTCCACTATGTACACGGTTTGGAATAGAAGTTCCCTCTAATAGTTCTATGTATTCAGACAGAAAAACACATACTTGTACATAAGTTGATAACGAAACATGCCAAAAGCTACCAGTATACATAGAAAATTAATTCACAACCTCAAACAATCACTGTTAACTGTGTTTTTTAGTCACACAGAATAGCAAGGCAAAGCTTAGCAGTAGGTGAAGCAGGGAGGCAAGGAACGACAGGTGAGAAGCAACAGTGGATTCCTGGGTAACAGACACATTGCAATACACTCAGGCAGCGTCAAATAACAGGGGACACATCTGCAGGTGCATGGAATCCACAGATACAGAATTGTATTGCCCAGCTCAGTGACATTTTAAATTGTGCTTTCCAGCACTTCAGCAACGTCAGTTAGGTGCCCAGTGGACAGTTGTTGACAGGAAAAAATAAAACTCAGATCCATTATATAGACCAGATTTTGTAAAAAAAAAAAAAAAAAAAAAAACACTAGAAGTTTTGGGTATATGTAATTTGTATCAGTTATTAAGAACACTTTATATTATAGTAGTATAAATGATAAAATGAATGAATGAAAGGAATGCATTTAAGTGAAATGTCACAGACAGGGGTATGGCATAGGCATGTTAATATTGTTCTGATGATGAGCACTGAATGTACTGGGCCAAGCAAGAGGACAATCCAATCCATCAGCATGCATCTCCCCCCACCAGCGAGAAAGAAAGGGGGATTCAGGAATGTAGGTGCCTCCTCCAAACGGGACAGAGTCGACCTTAGAAGACACAGAATATAAAATGTATGAAACGCTATTGGATACAGGTCTAATTATAAGGCTAAACTAACAATAAACAATCTTTCAATTTACTTTTGAAATATCCCTGATGGAGCAGACATTCTCCCTTCTAGACTAGCTGCCTTATAATTTACCCCACCTACCTTACTCTAATCTACTCTTATGAGTGCCATACTAAATAAAATATGTGTGATCTTTTTATTTAAACAATCAAAAGTGCAATTTTAGATATAAAATTTTAGCATTTGTGTCAGTCAGGTGAATTTGTATTAATCCCGTTTGAGTTTGGCATTGGCAACAGCAGAAGCCTTTACGACAGACTATGAGCATGGCATAAGAAATGCTTTTAGCAGAGGGGAATGAGAAGCAGGTTAGTGAACAGCAAGAATTCCCTTTCACCCAGTATGCCAGCCAGAGCTGTGGGTGATGGCCAGAAGATGTTCCCCTGAGCACACCTCCCCAGCAATCAGAGCTTTGCCCGGCGCTGGTGGTATTGAGAAGGGGGACTGTACCGTCCGGCGTGGCCTGATGACGGGGGGGTTTACATTTGATGTAATCGTGGTCAGTCGGAGTGGCTGTGTAAGGTGGAGATGTCAGACCTGGACCGGAGGAGGAGGAAGGAATGGAATTTCCAGGGCCCGGCATCGTCCCAGCCGAAGAGTGGGAGTCCTCATCCAACGTACTATGCTTCTCCCTGTTTTACAGGAATAAAATAAACTGCTTAAACACCACTTGGTGTACAGTACATGAGACATGATAGCAATAACCCTAATCAAAATAAAATCATAACCATACTGAAACTAGCATACTCATATATAGACCAAAGCTGTACCTAGTAACTGTAAATATGTAATGTGAATACTGTTACATTCATAATTATATGAATAACTACATACTTCTCATTGGTTTTTGGTGTATTTTTCTCCTCTCCTTTGGCGAAAGGCCCCTCTGAAGCTTCTTTCATGACAGTAAATAACATTTTATGATCCAGCTCATGGACAGGTTTTTCCAGCAGTTTCAAGACAGACGCGTGAAGACGGAAGTACACCTATTAAAAATAGTATAAATATGTACAGATATGTATTCTCTGTGCACCTATAGCTATATCAGGGGATATCTGGCTCCAAAATGAAAATGGTCCACCATACCTTCCTATATACATAAGGCTTCATTTTAAAGGGACCCTATTGCTATCATAAAGAAATTCAATGAGTGTCATCCTGTTTGGAGGGAAGCAAGGGAAATCTTTGGTTGTTTCAAGTGGAGATGATATCTGACATTTCCGGATGTGTTATATAGCATGTTTCCTGCTGAATGTGGTGATTCCTGGCTACTGTCCTGTAGTGATGTCAGCTTTTGGAGACAGATAAATCGCACTCTGTGGCTCTTGAAGCAACTAAAGATTTCCTTCATTCATGCCAAACAGGTAGGCATTCTGCATATTCTTTTACAGAGTGCCACTCATTATGTTTCCTTAAGATAGCAACAGGGTCACTAAGCCATCTCTGTAAACTGCATTCTTGTATATCTTGTATTGGTCCACAATAAGGCTCAACAACCTATTTTTGTCAGGACGTCCCTCTGTTGTAAAACTTAAAATACTGACATTTCTCAGATTATCTGGGTTACCAGGTGATCAGACCCACTGGTTCCAACAAAATTCTTACCTTTTCCATTCACTGCACTTAAATGATTTAGCATCCTCAAAGCACAAAAGCAATACAAAGAGTTCTAGAAATGCATGTGCTACACTGAAACCATTGCTGCTTCAACTGCATGAGTTTTCTACGCTGTCCCTGGATGCACATACACAATTCGTCAAGTGCAGCACAATCCTACTTTAATTAATCTTTAGGTAACCCCCAGATAATATGTGTTCTTCTGTACTTCGTTATAATAAGACAAAAGTTTATCGTCAGCAATGTGGATCATTTTCTACCTACATTGAAACATAACATGAACAAATAAAAGATTTTAAATATTAAATATGAACTAACAGCTGAGAAAAATTCCTTGCTGTTCTTATTTATAAAAGTAAAATTAATTTCCTGGATCAATAAGTTCTGTAATGAGTTCTAATAATTAAATCTGGAGATTATGTTTTCTACAGGAAAGGGGTCCAGGCAATTTGCAGACAGCCATTACAATGTTCATTACTATGTCTATTGGCAGAAAACTCCAAAACCTGACTACCTTCTCATGTATGCAAAACATTATTATATTTCTAATCCATAAACTTTTAAATTATGATAAATACATGCTTCAAATGCCAGTCAATATCTTTTACATTACATTCTTTATAGAAGAAAATTATTTAATTTCATAATGAATTTTACACTATTGTCTCAGTAGCTACAAAAGACATCGACTTACCACACTTAGGGAATAATCATGCTAAATGAACAGGATATGCTCAAGCATCTACTAGCCAAACTTGCTGCATGATCACTGTGATTATGCTAAATGCCAAAAGATCTGTTCAGGTTTCTAAAAGCCTGACTTGCAGCATAATCACTATGATGAGGATAAATGCAAAAGGATCTGTAATCAGGCCAACTGTAAAAGGATCTGCTGAAATATACCCAAAGGGAGGAGAATCCGTAATTGGCATATCTCATCCATTCTATCCTTTAAGGGGACCTCTGGCTATATTGTTTACTTGCATATTTAAAATACACATCTGGTGAGTGCGTATTCTTACCACACCTTTGGCACATCACTGAAGTTTGAAGTAATTATCAGCCTATACTTAGCACTTTACCACAAACTGTCACTTTATTGATATCATAATGTATTCATTTATTATTTGGAATTAGTATTTGATTTAGTATTTTAGCGCTGCACCTTTTATTATCTGCTAGCCAGACTTGCTGCATGATCACTACAAGAAGGCTAGATAAAAAAAGGGTCTACTAAAGCATATACATACTGGTCTAGCTCCATAATCTCTGCAATCAGACTAAATATAAACAGATCTGCTCACAAACTGCAAATTAGACAGAACCTTTTCTGGACACACAACACTGAACTATGAAACCTGAAGCATAGAACCAGGTTGGTTGCTATAAGCAAGCCCTTTTTTCCTTCAGGTTTCATAAATGAGTAACCAAAGGGAACATTTCAGTTCCATTTCTAGAGGCTTGTACTTTTGTATAGGTAGTAAGTATTACAAAGCTACACTAAGAGCATATTTATGGCATCTCCTGCCATCCAGAGAGAAACAATATTCTCTATAGTCCTAATACGGATGATGACTGGATTTTGTGCTACGTCTTATAAATGATTTAAACGAATAGCCGTGTGGTCTGCAGTTAGACCAATATTTTGGAAACATAAAAGATAAACATGTTACCTCTAAAGCCTCCATGGCCAGCTCTGGAGGATTGTGATAGTGAATCTTCTTAGGGTAACGAGCAGCTTCCTCATGCAGGTAATGAGCTGCCTGTTTGTAGTGTTGCAGATACAGCTCTGGAGCTGCTTTCTGTTTTTCACAAATTTTGCCCAACATATAATGAATTAACCACTCTTCCTCGTCTCCATCTCCTTCACAACGAGAAGCAGACATAAAACATTGCTTGGCTGTCTCAAGCATGCTGTCCCGACGTTTCCTTTAACTACAAATGAATATAAAATTATTAAATTAAGTCATCATTCTATTGGCAACCAGAGATAGCACAACTTATTGAAAGTAAATAAAAAAAGACTATTTCAGTGAACTGTCTTTAGTGCAAAGCACAGCTAATGTTAATCACTTTTCTATTGCACCCATATACCACTTTCGGACCAGAGAAAATTCACTCAGCTGGTCCAGGCTGGGGAAAGATCCTTACTTCAAAGTCGGGATCCACCCCAGAGTCTGGAGTGGCACCTGGCTCAGCCTCTCAGCCAGCCACTCCCTCCCCCTCCACAGCCCAGGATCCAGTGAGCGCTGGGGGAGCTGAACAGAGAGCAGTGACTAACAGTCCCACTCTCTGCTCAGATCGGCTGTGAGAACTCAGCGATCAGCAGTCACGTGATCACTGAGTTCTCACCCTTAGAGCCAGCGGGGGACAGACACAGCATCGGATCAATGCTGCATCCACCTAGGTAAGTATAATGGGGGGGGGGGGGGGGGAAACCCCAATACTTCTCTTTTCAGTTGCCATTTATTTTGGAGGACAGTTGTATGTTCTACATTGGGGTACACAAACCAATGGCTATGTTGTATACTGCGTACACTCTTTGATTACTCCTGTATGCCTTGCAAAAAAAATATATATAAAAAAAAAAATTAAAAGAAAAAAAAAAAAAAAAAACAGGCTTGACAATTTATCTGGGAGAACATATGAACGGATGACCAGGTGGCAGCTTTGCAAATCTGGAAATTAGTTGCCTGATGCTGAAAAACACAAGAAGCACTCAGATCTAGAATTTGCCTTGGCGATACCCATTCCATGAGACCTTGAGCCACCTAGAAATGGTGAAATGAGAAGCTAGCGCTGGGAAAACAAAATAGGAATCAGTCTTTCTAAAACAAGCAATGGCTGAGAGACAGGTTCTCACAGCCCAAACCACATCCAGATAATGGAGAAAAAACTTTTTGTTGAACCGAACCTGGACAGAAGAACAATGTCCTGACTGAAGTGAAAGGCAGAAACTAAGTTTAGCAAGAAGGAAGTCCTAGTTCTCAACAGCACCTTTTAATATCGATCCTGCAAAGCAGATGTGAAAGAAGTTTTAGATGGGGAAAGGCATGAATCAGGGTGCTCCACAGTAATACCACTGAAACCGCCACAAAAACAGAGGCAATGACAACTTGATCTAGAAGCCCATAGATGGAGATTTATGCAGTGACAGAGGAAGGTTGGAGGTGAAAAACTGAGGTGAGGCCTGGGAGTGGAACTCTAGTTTGTAACTTCCGGAAACCACCACCGGCACTCAAGTATCTGAAATGAAAGCCATCAAAGTGTCTGCCAAAACTAACAGATGCATCTTCATGCCAAGAAAGGTTTGGCTAAGGGTTGGTGGACTTTAAGCCCAAGACCTTGCAGGTGGACTGGAAACCAAGTTTGAGGAGTTTGGGCTTGGAGGTTGTGGGAGTGATGCAACAAAAATTAAGTTTCTTGACCTCCAGTGATAGATGAGTTTTTCCAGTCTGTATTGTAGGCCTCTCTGGTTGTTGGAGATGTTGAAGGTGCTCTTGCCATCAGCAGCATTCTTGATAATGGTATCCAGAGTAGATTGTCCAGAGACATTGACAAGCAGATTCTTTTTTAGGTATGGGTTCTGCAGTCCAGCACCTAAATTAAGTGTATTACAAATGCAGCCTACCTTTTTAGATGTTCTTTTCTGGTAACTCCAGGACTGAAAAATTCTACTTAAGCTGGCCATACACTGCTAGATTTTTTTCATTCAGCCTGCGAATGAAAAAAGGAAAAAAAAAAAAAAAAATCTAACATACATGCTATACAGTGAAGATGGATGAATCTCCCATGCTCCCAATTTTTTCTAACAGCTTCCAGCAGCTGTCAGAATACCCAAACAGCGGCTGCATCTGATTGGATGCAGCAGCTGTTCATCCAAAACATTTTTTACCTGGTTTGAGCTTTCATTCAAAAAATGTCAAAAAACAGGGTGTTGACAAGGCCACTTATGGAGCAAATTTCAGACAGGTCATTAGGAACCTGATGAAATTTACATGATGTATGGGCAGTATTAGTGCTCAATGTTTATGAGGGGGTTGGAAAATTGCATTTGCCATAATAAATCCAGTCTGTAGTGTGCTGGTAAATGTTATTATCACTTGTATACTACATGAGCAGGACTGCTTTTCGCAACAAAGCGTTAAAGATTTCCATGCCTGGCTGGTTCATTGTACGTTAATGCACTTTTAAAAACCAGCCCCTCGCTTTTAGCCTATCTGTACTTTCCTATATATCCAAATCAAGGGAAGCTACCTATACTGTTCTTTGTATAATCCTGCTTCCAAGAAACTGCTAAAAGCCAGGGTATGCCCAATCAGCTCTGTTCTGTATTATTATACAGTTAAAACTAATAAAAAAAAGTTTAAAAAAAAGAAACTGCTAAAAAAGTAAGAAAGAAACAGTTAAAAAATTAATAATTTTTAGGTATATGCTGTGTGAATGGGAAGACATAAAAACATACAGTGGGGGTTTCTCAAATATGACCGTAAAAGTGGAAATATAGTTTAAAGCAAAATCATTTGCTCCAAAAGCTCTGGGACCGAGGTATCAACTGCAGTAGAAAGAAGAACCCTTCTAATAGACTTTGACCAATCAGTCAGAGTTTGGCAAAGCAAAGCCACAGCTAAGACAAGCTGAAGAGCAGGACTTACCAGCAAGAACAGAGCGCTAGACTTGCCAGCAAGACCAGAGCTCTAGAGAGGGCTTGAGCCCTTAAAGACAGGTGCATCCTCCAATGGAATTGTGGCCGCTTTGACAAGGCATGACACTGTCAGCTACAGAGTTAGGACAGACCACTTTTTAAACAAAAAGTCTTCAAATGAATATAAGGCTAGTAAGAGCTTGAAGTGAGTGTTTCCAATTCCCATAGAAGAACAGTGTATGCACTGGGAAATTCTTTACAGTCTTGGATTCTCTAAAGGACCCAAGACTGAGAACATCATTGGTAAAAGCAACAGGCTGATCCTCTAGTTTCAGAGTGGTAACCACCTCATCAATAAGGAACTAATATAGAAAGACTGCTATTCCTTTGGGACAAGTTCATCCAGTAAGAACTGGAGTGACTCCAAATCAGACAGTCTTAGCAGCTAGCAGCTGAAGGCTGAGGTATCACAGGCAGATCCGATACAGAATCTAGAAGGGAGAGTGCGGGAGCATGCCTGTGACCTTCACATTCAGAGTCAGAGAGCAGAAGAGCCAGCCACAACCAACGGAGCTTGGCAAGATTCCAGTGATGGGAAAGACTCTAGGATCAGAGGGCCACATGATTCCAGGCTGCAGATGTCAGCCTTTCCACTGTGTGCACTGCAAGCACCCGTGTTTAGAATCAGACATGTTGTGACCTTAAGCAACATAAAGCTTAGGGTACACAGCAAGTTCTCAGTTCCACTTGGCTTACTGCAAGAGCAGCAGCGGGAAGATGCTTCCTCAACACTCCATCTAACAGATGATATCAGTGCTCTGTCCTTCAGCATTAAGCCCTTCCACAGCACGAACCTGAGGAAAGCAGGAATTTGAAAAGGCACCCAGCGATCTAAGCAAATGAGGTAGCTACTGGTGCTCAACCCGACCTACTCACAGCATACGTTTTTACTGACAGGCCAAGCAGTGTTAATGGTTTCTAACCTGGAAAGGGCTCTGTGGTTAACGTTACCAGAACAGAGTCTGGAAAGCACCTAATGTGGAACCCAGTGCTGAAGGTCACTTAAAGGCTAGTCCCACAATGTCCAGTTCAGTGGGGTCTGGATGCATCACTCCAAACGCACGGCTGAGGATGGATGTGCCAGGCAGTTGCAATTGAAGAGACTAGCTCTAGCAGTGATGTAGAGTCAAAAACTATAGAAAAAAAGCTGAAGAAAAAAAAAAAGAAGCAGGTAATATTAGGTTAGACCTTTCCCAGCAGAGTGGTAAGCTGATAGTAGCAGAAGTTATCCTGAGCTTGCCTACAGTTTTTTGCTTGCCAGTGACCAATAGTCCTGTAGACAGTAGTATAACACAGAGGATAAAGACAATCTATAAACAAAAACCTAAAAAAAAAAAATAATTAAAGTGTTTGTAAACCTCAGACCTGAAAAATGAACAAAGCACATCCTGGGTATATGTAAGGGTTTACAACCACTTTAAAATAAAAACACACTTTTTTAACTTGATCAGTATTCATTATAAAAAAATTAGTGTTACTGTAAATAAAAAAGTATAAACTGTCCCGATTATTATGACAATAAAATTATGATTCTGGTAGAAAATAGTGAAGTTATTTACAAATGAATAAAACATTAATGAATATAAAGTTTAAATATCAACATTTATAAAAGTAGAATTAAAAAAATAAGAACAAAAATTGTATTGAAAAAAACAAACTGCATTTTATCTGTAAGGATGCTTATAGGAGTATGTATCATGGCAAGGGTCTGCATGGTTAAAGTGCACATGTGCCCAGACCATGGACATCAAAGCAGTATTAATCCTTCATCGATTTTTAGCATAACACATTGAACATGATAAAATAAACACTACCTGTAAACTATTTGTTAACCTCCTGCTGACCCCCTAACGCACTAGTGTGGAGGCAAGAAGGGTAGGCCTAAAACGCCTACGCGCCACACATACAGTGGGGATCGAAAGTTTGGGCACCCCAGCTAAAAATTTGTATTAATGTGCATAATGAAGCCAAGGAAAGATGGAAAAATCTCCAAAAGGCATCAAATTACAGATTAGACATTCTCATAATATGTCAACAAAAGTTAGATTTTATTTCCATCATTTACACTTTCAAAATAACAGAAAACAAAAAAATGGCGTCTGCAAAAGTTTGGGCACCCTGCAGAGTTAATATCTTGTACTGCCCCCTTTGGCAAGTATCACAGCTTGTAAATGCTTTTTGTAGCCAGCCAAGAGTCTTTCAATTCTTGTTTGAGGTATCTTTGCCCATTCTTCCTTACAAAAGTCTTCCAGTTCTTTGAGATTTCTGGGCTGTCTGTCACGCACTGCTCTTTTAAGGTCTATCCATAGATTTTCAATTATGTTGAGGTCAGGAGATTGTGAAGGCCATGGCAAAACCTTCAGTTTACGCCTCTTGATGTAATCCCCCGTGGATTTCGAGGTGTGTTTAGGATCATTATCCATTTGTAGAAGCCATCCTCTCTTTAACTTCAGCTTTTTCACAGATGGCATCAAGTTACCATCCAAAATTTGATTAAATTTTATTGAATCCATTTTTCCTTCTACTCGTCATGTCTAAATTGGCCCTAGTATGTGTATGTATAAATGAAAGTTAGGGACTTTAGATTGTACGGCCCTTGAGGGTTAGGGACTGATGTGAATGTAAAATATATATGTAAAGCGCTGCGTAAATTGACAGAGCTATACAAGTACCTTTGTAAAAATATACTATAGCTTCCCTGTAAGATGTATATTTTCCCAGTATTAGTACTAAGTATTCTTGTGAATAATTAGTACTAAGGTAGGCATCATTATGATAATAAATGGTAGGGAGTACGTCTTATGACAAAATAAAGCACCTTACCTGTGCCACCACCTCTGGAGGGACCTCTTTGATAAACTGCTTGAGCTGACGGGAAGCAAAAGAGTGCAGAGTATAGGACATCGTGCCATACTCAATCCACAAGGACAGATTAGAGGTGTCAATTTCCAATGCTCGCTTAAAGCAGTTTAATACAGCAGTGGCATGTTTCCATATGGGGCCATCACTCTTCATATCATTAGAATTGAGTTTGTCCTGGATACGACTTGCTCTTGCTAGGGCCATGCCAGCCCAGGAATCAAATCTGTGAGCACAGAAAAAAGAAAGGATGGGGCGGGGGATTAAAAGGCCAACTCCAAGATAAGAGGAAAGGAACAAGCAAATAATATTTACAGTATTTGTAAACAAAAAGTGACAAGGAAACATCAGCATTTCTGGTTGCTTAACCTCCCTAGTGGCCTGATTATGTCCATATTTCTGTGCTCAAAGCAGTACATTTTTTTGCATGGAAATATGTATTTTTTTTTATTGTAGGCTGTAATTTTTAGGAATAACTCACTGAAATCTGTCCGAACAAAAGTCTATTAAACATCCCGGGTATGTTAAAATTTGAAACACGAAATCATAAATTATAATTTAATAAATAATCATAAAAAATAATAATAAAATGTAATTAAATAATATAATCAAACCAAAAACACTGAAATTTGAATTATAGCACCAAGTTCGCACATCACTGAGCAAAGTCGCAAAATCGTTTTCAGTATCTGATGACGAATTTCCCCACGAATCATTATCACTCAATTCTGCAAGTGGTTCTAATTTACTATCACTGTTCTCTAGCTGGTCTAAAACCTATTTTGACCTAAAGGGAAGCTTTTTGGACGCCATGACATTTCTCAGTTTCCAGGCAGAAAGAACAGTAAAAATGCAGGCAGGGCACAGGACAAAGCACTAGGGACAAAATGTATGTGAAATGGTTTGATACAGTAATGTTTTACTATGTGATTTTAGTGTATTTAGTGAATGTCACTTTTACAACTTTCAAATTTCCCACCAGTTTTTGTCCCCCGTACGTCCTGACGTCACAAGGAACGGAACCCAGAAGACAGGTGTCGGCATTCGGCGGAGGACATTGCAGGGGACACCGCCGAAGCGCAGGACAAGCTAAGTGAAGAAGAGATTCCGGAGCAGCGCTGCAGGGTATTCCTGAGTGTAGTGCGGGGTTACCGCTTGTGGTGCTGAAACATTACCCCGAGCTACACTCGGGAATACTGCCAGGGAGGTTAAACAAAGAACAAAAGAACAATCACTCAGACAAGTTATCTGTAAAAACAGTATTGATTTGTATACACACCTGTTGGGACAGATGCAGATATCATGCATGTAGAATTTAATGGCTTTGGATTGCTCCTTGTTTTTAAAATGATAATCAGCAAGAAGGTAATATAACTCATTCAGTACTACAGGGGAATCATCTGCACCTTCTGGAAGAGCTGGCGCCTAAAAGAAATGACACATGCTAGTAAAAAGATTACCATTAATATAGTATAAGTACATATATAGTATATGTAAACACTAACAATTTTGGAATCCATTAGTAATGAAATTAGTAGAGCTGACATGATGTGCTTATTGTTGTGGTGTCATGTAAAAAGAGAAAGGTAAGACCACTTTTTTACCAGGGCAATTTTTTCAATTTCAGTTAAAATCTGCATTTTTTGCTAGAAAATACTTTCACCACTTGCTGCCCAAGCCAATTCTGACACTTCTTACATTTCATATCTGCATTTTTACTAGATAATTCCTTAGAACCCCCAAATATTTTCTATTTTCAGAAAGCAAAGGCCCTAGAGAAAAAAAAAATATTAGCAATTTTTTACGTCACATGATATTTGCGCAGTGGTTTTTCAAATGCAATTTTTTTTTAAATACACTTGAATGAAATTTAGTGGAGCGATTCTAAAGGTTCATTGTTTATTTTGGGGGGGGGGGAATAACAAACATGCTATACTTACCTGTTGGGTGCAGAAGTTTTTCACAGAGCAGCCTGGATCATCCTCTTTTGGGTCCCCCGCATAGGATGCATGAAGGTAAAAAACCTTGAGCCTTTACAAACAATTTCATTTTATTGCTATCACAAAGGATGAACAGCATTCCTTTGTGATAGCATGGTTTCTCTTTTCTGAGAGATTTCTATAAGACCCCTGGTCTCTCCTCACCGCTCAAAAGCATCTGATCAAACTGAGATCATTTGATAAGATGCTTTACAAGCTGGTAAGGGCTTGTAAACATCAAACTGAAACTGGAAATGACAAAATCAGGGAATGAAAGTTCTTCCTTCATTTCTATGGTGTGCTGACCTGACCATTGGTTTCAGTCTTGGGCTTCGTGATGGATCGGGAGAGCAGGGAAAGGCAGGGGGGACCACATGTAAAAGTGATCCAGCGAGTGTATAATGTAACCAGAACACAAACACAATGAGAAATTAAGTTTCCATGCCTTGTTGCCTGTGCCTTCAATGTAAGAAGATACGGTGTCCATGCTCAATTTAGGCTTATCCGATTGAGGTACAATTGAGGACATCTTCTTTAGCAGGTTTGCTAGATCAGCAGAGACTGTACTGGTTTTGTAGCTATCAAATTCTGGTAGAGTTTTCGGTTTGAAGTACTCAAACAAGATAAGTGCATCTTCCCACAGCAGCTCCACCTACAGAAAAAGAGAGTTACAGAGGTACCAAACGGACAGATTTCTTAGGCATCACAACTGAGATCAAATATAATAAAAGCACAGTATACTATATTTCTACATCAACCCGAGAGCAAATTGACATGTTTGTAGATAGTTATAAGGTGTTCCCATGTTCCTTAGGTACAACAAAAAGATGAAAAATGTAATCACTGTAAAAACTGAATTTTTGTTTACCTGTAAAATCCTTTTCTTGGAGTACATCATGGAACACACAATGTCTTTATAAACCTTAAAACAGAGTCATGTTGACACCTTCAGGAGAATGGATAGTGGCAAAAAACAAGGCAGGAAGTCCCCTCCTAGGCATAACCGCTCCACATTTGGCAAAGCTTCAGTTCTGTAGCAAGCCAAAAATCACAAGACAGAGGAGCGGAACCTCTGTGTCCTGTGATGTACTTAAAAAAAAGGATTTTACAGGTAAACCAAAAATCCCTTTTTATTTATTGTATTTCACGGGACACAGAGGGGTTTATTTACTAAAGCTGGAGAGTCCAAAATCAGACTCCCTTCTGCCTAGAAACCAATCAGCTTCTAACCTCAGCTTGTTCAATGAAGCTTTGGCAATGAAACCTGGAAGCTGATTGGTTTCTATGCAGAAGGGAGTCTGATTTTGGACTCTCCAGCTTTAGTAAATAAACCCCACAGCGTATTCATAACCCTAACGACAGGAATGTCCCAAAGGATATAATATGAGGAGAGGGCAACTTGGCCACAAACCCAAAAAAAACCCAAAAATGGAATAGGAGATAACCAGCGGATATAACACAGCAGTCTAACTTCAAAAAAAGGTAGTGTCCTCAGCAGCTCTAACATCCACCTGGTAAAACTCTGTAAATGTATGAACCAAAGGCCAGGAAGCGGTTTTACAAACTTGAACTACTGAAGCTTGGTGGCAAATACCCCAGGAGGTGCCTACACTACTGGCAGAATGAGAGGTCAACAAAAAAGATGGTATATTACCTTTCAAATGCAAGTTTGAAAAATAAGCGAAATAACCCTCAGGGAAGAAAAATATATTTGAAATATATTTTAAAAATATTCTTCCCAAATATATTGAAATATATTTGAAATGCTACAATTTTGGCCATATTCAATATATTTTAATATATATATATATATATATATATATATATATATATATATACACACACACACACACAATATACACACTGTATGTTGAAATGTGTTTCTATTACAAAATATATGAGGAAAATTCTTAAAAATACATTTCAAATATTCTGTATGTCCTTAAAATTCAAATCTACATTTTTGGAATGCATTTACAAATATATGTAAAAAATATGTTAAAATTACTTTTTATATGTTAAAAAAACCTTAAGAATATATATATAAAAGATATATATTTTTAAAAATATATATTTTAAAATATATTCTTCAGGTTTTTTTTTAACATATAAAAAAGTCATTTTAACATATATTTTTACATATGGGTCATTCCAGACATTGTTCAGAAGAACAGTATACTTTGATTAAAAAGTTGATTGGAGAGGGGAAAACATTTAAAGAAACTTACAAAACTGAAAGGCTGCCCAGGTAAAATGATCTCAAATGCTTTAAAAAGTCAATCAAAATCAGAAAGGTGTGGAAGAAAATGGAAAACTATCATTCAAACTGGAACAAAGAATAGCCAAAATGGCAAACCTCAGCCAATGATAAGTTCCAGGGTGATCAAAGAAGGTCTAATGTTATCTGTGAGTACTGTTACAATTAGAAGACACCTATGTGAAACCCTTGCAAAGTCCCATTGCTGAAAATAACGACGTGCTGAAGAGGTTACAAATTGCCAAAGAACACATTGACCGGCCTAATGAGAAATGGCGCAACATCTTGTTGACTGATGAAAACAAGATTGTTCTTTTTGGGTCTAGGGGCTGCAGTTTGTCAGACGACCCCCCAAACACTGAATTCAAGCCACAGTACACTGTGAAGACAGTGAAGCATGGTGGAGCAAGCATCATGATATGGGGATGTTTCTCATACTACGGTGTTGGGCCTATTTATCGCATACCAGGGATCATGGATCAGTTTGAATACATCAAAATACTTGAAGAGGTCATGTTGCCTTATGCCGAAGAGGAAATGCCCTTGAAATGAGTGTTTCAACAAAACAACACCAGTGAAGCGAGCAGTATCTTTGTTCCAGACCAACAAGATTAATGTTATGGAGTGGCCAGCTTGATCCCCAGACCTTATTCAATAGAAAACTTGTGGGGCGACATAAAAAGTTCTGTTTCTGAGGTAAAACCAAGAAATACAGAGGAATTGTGGAATGTAGTGCAATCGTCCTGGGCTGGAATACCTGTACACGGGTGCCAGAAATTGGTCAACTCCATGCAACACAGATCTGAAGCAGTTCTCAGAAACAGTGGTTATACAACTAAATATTAGATCAGTGATTCAAAGGAAAGCTAAATCATCAAGCATTTTCAGTTTATATAGTAAATGTTTGAGTTTGCAAAGAAAAAAGGCACAAGTGCTAAAAGGAAAGGAGTATCAAGCGAGCGCTACCAGAGATAAAGGAGACACAGCTGCTAGAACACCAAAAAGGTAACAAAAAAAAAAAAAACCTTCCAAGATGTATGTATATAAATAGGTGCAGCGTTAATACATAATGTGCAACATAATACGTAACGGACAAAGTGAAAAAAATGATTAAAAAAAATAATAATAATAAAATACAGTACCATATATATATATATATATATATATATATATATATATAGTCCTTAGTGACATAAGGTGCAAAATATATAGGGTGCCAAGTATAATGTCACTATGCGGTGATCATAGTAAGTGAAAGTCCCAAATGAAACAGCAAACGTGAGGATCTCATACGATCACAATATGTGTGTGTGGAAATCTGATCCGGGGTGGCAGATGGTATATCTGAATAAGTAAAATGCGCACTCACCAGAAATGCGCTATTAAACGCATTTGAGATTAATCCTGTCTCATCAGGTATTACTCAGGTCATCTGCTCCCAGGTCAGGTTCCTATATACCGTCTGATCCCATCTGTATTAGGTGCTCAGGGTCCCTTGATATGTATCACCGTGTAGGGTCACCTTTAAAGCAGGCTCTGCGAATGAGGGCACTCACAGGGAGAGTCCCTTATTGCCGGCAGCTAGAAGGTCATAATGGTGCACAATGAAAACCTGTGGCTTTGTGTAACTAAAAGACAGGTTTGTTCCACCCACTGGCTTGTATACAAGTTTTGGCCAATTTTTAGATATTTTGCTAAGCCACCCCTGAAGAAACCTCAAGGCACTCCAGGGCACCTGGGCACCCTGGTTGAGAAAGGCTGGTATAGAAAACAGTCCCAAATGAGAAAGCTGTTGTATAGAATGTTGTATGGAATCCTTCAGTGCGTCCACCAAAAAACTGACGGAGTGAGGCTTCTGCCTGAATCGCAATTCCTGATAGAAAGATCTCTCTAGTCACACGACAAGCCCAGACTTTGAGGATTTTGCGGACTCCGCAAGCGTTGGTTGCACAACTGCTCCCACCAAAGCAAATGAGGTTTTACACAGGACCTCCAGGTGCTTGAAGGGGAAACTATTTGCAATACATGTGGCTCAAATTGGTAAGTGTCCTGGAAAGCTGCTGCTATACCCAAGCCAAAGCAGATGAAAATCCCTCCCTTTGCACACAGGAGCTGGAAGAAGGTGCCCCAGAGGTAGCAGAGATACCCAATTGGTGGATGCAGACAGAGCAGCAAGTAACACATTGACCCCCAAGGATACATCACATGGGGGGGCTACAGTCAGGTTCCTCCCTACCTGATGGAGGTACCACATCCCCTACTCTCTGTCATCTAAAATATGTGGCCTGCTGACCCCTGTAATGGGATGCTCGCTGAACAAAACAGTCAGCCAAGTGGGCACTGTGTTAAAATACACTAGTGCGCTGGTTACCCCAGGAGATCGCCCTGCTAATCTGCCAGTGCTCAAGTGTCCCTACAAAGAAGGTGTATTTGCATGGTCCCTGGAATACCCCGTTACCAGTAGCTGTCAGAGAAGATGTTGCCCACAAGTAGGAGTTGCTGTGATCTGTAGTTCTGTTTTGTTCCTGCTTTTTCAGCTGCTGTGTATCATGCATAGAATAACAGCACACATAACAAATCAAGGGGCACGCCTCCTTGTATCACGAAAGTGGAGAGGGGAAACTAGCCTAAGGTGTCAGCAATAGGGCTACCATAGGCCACTCACCAAGTCCAAGTGTGGGAACCACAGGGTTGTCCACTCTTCACCTATGAGAGCAGGCTTCACCCAGGGGGTTTACGAGGACTCAATACCTCAGCAGGGACTCACTGTCCTTGACCTGTATAGACCAGGCAATATAATCATTGCGAAGGGTCCAATGCTGACCGCATCCTTACAGGACCGCACATCCTTGTCACTTGTGGAGTCCGGGTGCCATTCCTTTGAGTAATGACAGCCAAAGGAAACTGTGAAGGTGAAGAGCGTGACATCACTACCTGGCATCTTCACCTCATCCAAGTAGAAAGTGCTTTGCATTCATTTAGAAAATGAAACGCCCATGTAGAGCGACCAACCTCACGTGTTCAGAATGCATGAAACAGACCGCTCAGCATGGGATCTGGCAACAAGTGGAGATTACTGAAGAAGCAGTGTCTACTTCAGCTATTTCCAGCTTCCAGGGGCATCGTCCAGGTATAGCATATACATAGTTCATTGGAGCAATCTGTAAAAATGGATTGTGCAATCTAGGTAAAAACATTAAGGGCAAGCTCTGGATGACTTCTGTCCTAGTTGCTTTACTCACCAGACCCTAGCTCATCGACCCAGAGATGGAGAGCTAATTAGGCCACAGAAAGGGAAGGGCACACAAATTAAGGGTAAATACATATAGCATTTATAATCCAATACCACTCCACTATTCCCTTGTAAGAGCATGCAAGGATGCACAACAAATACC